GGGGGCAGGGAGATGGCTTGGTGAAATAAGCGCTTCCCTGGCAAGCACAAGGGCCTGAGTTCAATCCCTGGTTCCGGAAAAAAAAAAAAAATGGTACAGGGTCTCATTCCGCAGCTTGGACTGGTAGTGAGCCTCCTGTTTTCAGCCTCCCCAGTGCTGGGATTACAGATATGAGCCACCACATGTCTGGTTTTGGTTTCTGGTTTAGTGCACCCAAGGGTGGGGCTGGCATGTCATGTGGTGGGAGGATCAAACCGCAGTCCCTGTGCTTGCCTAAGCAGGTGCTTGGTCTGGTGAGCTATCTCACTGGCCCCTGCTGAGTGTATTCTTAAGATCTGATAGTGCTTGCTGTGGCAGCATGTGTACTGAAATTCAAGATCTGATAGATGTAGGACAAGCATAAGGGTTCTTCAGGCCATTGAATTTTAAGTTGTGGATTAACAGTATAACAATTGAGGCAGATTAGGACCTTTCTAAGCATGAGTAGATATGAGTGTGTTAAATGATTAATTTAGTAGAGGAGAAGTTGACACTGATTGCTGGCTGCCCATACTAGAATACTAGCAAAAATAAAACACAACTGCACCCATTTTAAAGTAATAATGAATCTTTTTATCTAACCACCATGCAGCCTCTACATAAAACGCTTGATCAACACTGGCCTGTTCTTGTGCTTAGCTGACAGTTTTGTAAAGCATAGGGAGCTTATTGCTTAGGCAAAAAGTATCCAATAGGTACTGGGAGTCTAGCAACCAAGTATTACTCCTGCATCTACGATCATTTTGGTCTTAAGAATATTCTCTCGGGGCCGGGGAGATGGCTCAGTAGAATAAGCACTTCCCTGGCAAGCGCAAGGGCCTGAGTTTGATCCCTGGTTCCGCAAAAAAAAAAAAAAAAGAAAAGAATAGAATATTCTCTCTAGTAGCTGGGTGTGGTGGTGCACACTTGTAATCCCAGCACTTGGGAGGCTGAGGCATGAGGACCATTGGGAGTTTGAGACCAGCCTGGGCTACAAAGGGAGCTCAAGGGCAGCCTGAACTGCATAGGGAGACCCTGTCTCAAAAAGACCAAAAAAAGTGTGTGTGTGTGTATCAGAGTGTGCTTATGTGAGATTTTGGATTTTTAAAAATGTTTCTGAATGATAGACCTTTTGGAGCATTTTGAATGGAGAGAAATGTTCCTTGTTCAGTTTTAACTTGTAACCATATTGATGAGAACTCTTTTAAGTACAAAGAGTGTAGCCACATGAGCTTGTAGCAGCTGCTTACCCAATTTCTCTGGGTGTTGAGGTATTAACAGATATTAATAAAATCAGAGTAAAGACCATTGTCACATTTTGATGAAAGGTTACATATATTTAATCCATTTTTTTTCTTCTTAGATTGCCAAGGAAATCTGATGTGGAAAGGTGAGTATGCAAAAAACTTTAAATCTATCTCTGATTTTTATGGATTCATCTGTGAGTATGGGTATGTGGGTATTGATACAGGGCTGTGGACTACAAACATAGGCCCAAAGAAATAGAGGGCCATGGGCTGAGGGAGAACATGTGATGTTCTCATTCTTGGCAACACTTGGGCATGAGGTCAGTTGTAGCTTTTCTGTTCTGCAAGTCTCTATCCAGTGAGCGACTAGTTCAAGTTCCTGAGGTGGGCGGGAAGATGGTGAAAAGATACAGAAAGTATGGGCCATAGTAAAGGAAAGGAGAGCAAACTGGCTTTAGAAAGGTGACTGCTAATTTACCATTTGCAATAAGATGCTATTGGATATCTTTGGAGAATTGACATTTGCCTCTTGCTATTGCTGTTTTAGAGTTGAGAAAATTTTTGGTTCAGTTGAAGTTTGGGGCGTAAGACTTAGCACTGGTATGTTCCCATAGTATAAAGGAATAAGATAAATTAAGAGTTCAAGTAAATCATGTGATGGGGATTTGAAAAATGTTTGGTATGGGGATTAAACTCAGCTATTGCATAGAGCTACATCCCTCGCCCTTTTATTTTTTAATTTTTTATTTTGAGACAGGGCCTCGCTAAGTCACCACGTTGCCTAGGCTGGCCTCAAATCCTCTTGCCTCAATCTGTATCTAGGATTACAGGTGGGCACCTCAGCACCAGGCCTGATTGTGATTTAAGTTGTGACTGTAGTATAGATTACTTGACTATATCTTTGCTATTACTTCTATTTCTTGGTTTATTTGCTTTTAATTCCAAGTCGCTAGGGAGGTGTTTAATATTTATTAGCGGCTTTACTCCACTGCCAACCTCAAGTGCCTTTTTTGATCAAAAAGAGAGGCAGAAGAGACAAAGATTACCTTTGCTATGGTTTGGCTGGTCACTTTTAAAGGAAGGAAGCGTAAGTCAGATTTATGCTGTCCCCTTTGGGATAGGAAGGGCATTGGGCCTTTTGAAAACTGACTCATGCTTCCTATCACTTGAGGAAACCCTGCTGTAATAGTTTACAAAGAGGAACATCTTATTTTCGGGAGAGGAACATACTTAGGGACCCAAATTAATATGCAAATCTGCTTTTTCTAGGACAGGGGCAGAGACCTCCCATTCTCTAATCTGTTGCTGAGTTAGAGTGACAGACCTAAAACTCCTTGCCTTGAGGAGGCTGTCAGATTGACCCCCTTCTGGGGATGGAACCTAAGGCACATGCTATGGAAGTGCTCTGGCACTGAGCTACACCCCCAGTCTTGCCAGTGTTGAATGTTCATTCAGTACTTCTGCTGTGCTTCAGTCTTGCCTGTGATACTCTGCTTGTGTTCTCTCATAATCCGTCAGAGACGATGGCAAAGACTCATAACTGTGCCCTTGATTTTTCTCTTTGTAGAACCACTTACCATATTGTTGGCTGATCTTAAGCCACTCAGGTTGTTTGTGGGCTTGGTAAGCTCTTGATAGCAGCTCAACTCTGCAGTCTTCATTTGGGATTGTACTTCAGCAAAAAAAATTGGTGTGCTTCATCATGGTGGTGGTACTGGGGAGATGCACGAGTGCGGGTTGGCCCTGTAGCTCATTGAAAAGCCATATTAATGTAGATCGGAGTCTACTTGGAGGGAGGTTGGTGTTTTGCTGGGTCCTGTCATTACTCTTAGCATGCTGAATTTTTTCCCACTGTCTTAAGGAAAACCCTGAATGGTTTCAGTTTTGTGGCTGCCATGAGGGTGAGAGGTCTAACTAACACACTGACAGCATAAAGCTTTTTGTGAAGCTTTTAAGGCTTTATGAGATGGTAAAGATACTGATGAGTATTGAGAGAAAAAACATGGAAGTGGGCAGAGCATAAAAAAAGATATGGACAGACTTTCTACCTTTTATTTTTAGTACTCATTTTCTTTAACTTGGCTTAGCTAATTTAATGTATTCAAGTTTGTCACTGAAATTCATTTGATAAAAGAGCTGCCCAATTAAAAATTTCAGTTATGGAGTTTTAAAAATGATGCTCTTGTAAGATGAAAAATGAAGCCTTGATTTTTGTAGGAAAAATACAGTATCAGGTTTTTTTTTTTTTTTTTTTTTTTTTTGCGGAACCAGGTATTGAACTCAGGCCCTTGTGCTTGACAGGGAAGCGCTTAGTCCACTGAATCATCTCCCCGGCCCCTAGTATCAGGTTTTGATAAAGAAATATTTCACTATCCTCTTACCAAAAGGCTTAGTAATTACCTACTAATTTCATTTATGAAATTTATACTTTATACCTCCTTATTTGGTCCCCTCTGTAACCTAGTTAACTTCTGTCATATATCTATGAATTTAGTATATTTTATTACGATATGAAGTTAATTTAAAAATATGATATACTGAGCTGGGGAGATAGCTCAGTGGCATAAGTGCTTGCCTAGCAAGCACAAGGTCCTGAGTTTGATTACTGGTACCAAAAAAAAAAAAAGATGTACTGCTAAAATGTACTATTGGGTTTATTACTCTTAAGGTAATGATAAATCATATACGTATGACATACAGAATATGATAATACATATTTAGATAAATATCTTAGATTCATTTTATTGTAATTGTAAAGAAAAATATTTTTTAGCTCGAATGTGAATTCATTGTGAATTTTGTTTTCTAATATGTTACTTCATTAAAAATTGCTTTATAGGAAAATAGAAATAGTACAGTTTGCTAGCCGGACACGTCAACTCTTCGTTCGATTATTAGCTTTAGTGAAATGGGCTAATAATGCTGACAAAGTGGAAAAATGTGCGGTGAGTTGAACTTTTGATTTTACTTTGTGTATAATAACTTTTTAAAAAAATCTTTTTATTTATTTATTGGGTAGAGGGTCTCGCTACACAGTGTGGACTCATAGAGATCCTCTGTCTTAGCTTCCCTAGTGCTGGGATTCTAGGCCACCACACCCGGTCTCCGTGGCCTGGCACTCCCGGGGTTCTGGGGCTGGCATGGCATGTGCTGCAGGGGATCAAATCGGGTCTTTGTGCTTGCCAGGCAGACGCTCAGCCCCCCGAGCTATCTCCCTAGCCCTAGACTAACTTTCTTAGTGTTATAATTTAGTTTCTAATTTTAGCTTTAACACTTCTCTATTAATTTAAGTGACATTACTTGGGGGAGTGATCTTACTTCTTTCTGCATGCTGATGTAGAATGTATTTCCATTCTTTTGGATGGGGATACCAGGAATTGAATTCAGGACCTCATGCTTACCAGGCTGGCACTGTGCCTATTTCTGTAGAAACCTAGTGCATGCTTATGGACATGATTAGAAAGAAGGGTGGGAGATATCTGGAGACATCTTACATGAGGAGACAGTGAGACAAAGTCAAAAAGGGAAATAGCTTAAAAATTGTGTGGTTCGTCAGACTTTGTAAGGTTCTCCCTTAAATTTTGCTTCTTGATTCTTTGACATCCTTGTGAAAGTGGTATCGTTGGAATTTTCTTCCTACTTACAGATGATATGATAAAGTTCCTAGAAATTACATGGCTTCTTTAAGGGCTCAGGACTGATAACAGACTTTATCTGCTCATTTGTTTACTCATCGACTTAGTCTGTAAACCTCTGCTGAATGCGGGTTACAGGGCATGATGGACGGAGACTTGAATAGTTCACAGTCCCAGCCTTCAAGAAGCCCATATTGAATTACTGTTTTGAATTCTAAGGGGTGACATGCAGTGAAGCATACCAAAATTCCTGAAATCTACCCTGCCCCCACATGTTTTAGTTATGTTTAAGGAGCATTAAGGAGAACTATCAGTGGGGATCACGTGTGAGCTCCTGGAGCTTGTCACTTGGCGTGGATGGCGTGGTCTTAACGCATAAGGCGCGCACTTGCTCCTGTTCTCCTTAACTCACTCCTAAGGAGGGGAACGCAGTTTATATTGGAAAGGATAGGGAGATTATCTTAAAATGGATAAAGTGCTGAGATGGTGAGAACATTTGGCCACTTGAATTGAGGTCAGCTTTCCAGGCCCAACTCTGCAGTGCCCAGTCAACATCTGGCTGCCATCACTTATGTTTGGGAAGTGAGGGCATGTGGGGAATCTCTCAGCCCACTAGGGACGCTCAAATTCCTTTTTTATTTAATTATGTAATAACAGTTAAAAGTGTTATCAGTCTTTATACCTTAAGGCACAAGAATAACTTACGTTGGTTAAATTATATTTCAGGGATTTTTAAATTCTCTAAAGTTTATCAGGCTTCTTGGCAAAATTAAAATTAGCAGCTACCTAGAGTAAAGGTACCATAATAAATTTTTGGCACTCTAGCAAGCTAAGTTCAAAATATTTTACAGCAATTTTTATATTTAGAAATCTATAAGGGTCTGCTTGTTCCATAAAAATCAACTTTGGAAGGAAATCTATGACACAGTGTTTCTACACATGATTTTCCTGACATATCTCTTAAATTTTAGCGTGCTATGTTTGTTTAGCCTCTGTTTCACTAGATTCCCTTATCATCAGACATACAGGCGATGTGAAAGTGGCCAAAATGAAAGGAAAAAGAGACTTGGAAGAAGTTGAGAATTACACATTTTTTTTTTTGAAATTAAAAAAACAAGCACTTAATTTTAATTGACATTAATGCACAATTTCAGCCCTGGCAGCTAAGCCAGTGGCAGGGCTGGAGGAATTCTCTAACACAAACCAGTATCCAGCCACATACTTTCTGTCTCTGAGTAAGCTGATATCCCTCTGCATAACACTGATCAAAGGTTTGGGGGAGGATATTTTGTACCATATGTTAAGTTTGCCTTATGGGGGAAGAGTTTCTGTTTATTCCTCTATTTGTTGATGTGATTGAGAAATTAAAGTTTGTAAACAGTCTTAATGCAGAGCACCACTGAGAGTAGTTTTCATTATAAATAGTAATGGACAGGTTTAATTCCAAGTTTATGAGAAAGTTTATAATTTACTTCATTGTTATGGAAATTTGGGCAACAAGTTTAATGAACGTATCTTGGCTGAAAGGAGATGCATGGTATAGTATTTCTGAAATGCTTATGGCTTCTTTTTCATAATTAGTTAATGTGGAGTCATGTTTTATTAAAGATGTTCAATCTTTTAGTAAGAAGTTAGCTATGCTGGGTGTATCAAATCCAAGTGTTCAGTTTTTTCAAATCTGATGATAAATACCTAATTATATAAGTAAAGTTCCTGTTTGATAGTGCTCACTTATGTTTCTTTCTTTCTTTTTTCACTTACATGTTTTAATACCATAATATCAAGTAAAATTGGAAACTCTTGGTTTCCTCCTTTTCCCCTTCCCTTCCTCCTCCTCTTTCTCCTCCTCCTCCCCCCTCCTCCTCCCTTTTCTCCCCTCCCCCTTCTCCCCCCCCTTTTAGGCTGGCTTTGAACTCACCATCCTCCTGCCTCAGCCTCCCCAGTGCTGGAATTATAGGTGTGTGCGACTCTGCCTAGATGTTTAACATTCTTTTATTCATTTTCTGAATTGGCTGCTCACATAAATCATTTTCTGAGTAAAGTTCCAAATTGACCTTGCATAAAATTTCAGTATTTTTGTTTCAATACAGGCACAGAAGTGTTTGTGTCAGGGATAAAGTCCATCAACTGTGTGGTGTGCACTTCTTTAATCCCAGCATTCATGAGGCTGAGGCAGGAGGATTACTGAGAGTTCAAGGCCAGTCTAGCCTAACATGGCCAGAATAGAGTTCAAGAAAGAAAAGAAAAGCTATCAACTCCCTCCCCAGTTCACCTTTAGCTCTAGGCAAACACTGATCTACTTTCTGTCTCTATGGATTTGTGTGTTTTGCATAGTTCATATTAATGGAATCAGATCATGTATGTTCCTTTTTCCTAGTTTCTTTGTAATGTTTTCAATGTCTGTTCATTGTAGCATATGTTAGCCCTTTATTCTTTTATTTGGCTGAATTGCATGGATGATAATACTATTTTTTTTTATCTGTTCATTGGTTAACAGGGGCTTGGCTTGTTTTCAGCTTGGGGCTGTTATGAATGATGCTGCTATAAATAGTCATGTACAAGTTTCTCTAGGGATGTATACTTTTATTTTTTTATTTTTATTTTATTTTATTGAGAAATAAATATGAATGAGACAGTTTCAAAGCTGATTGATAGGACACTTTCGATAATCAATACATTGTACATTGTTGTCTTCTTAGTGGTTATCCATAGTACAAGAAGCAGACAGGATATCCTGTCCAAACACTATTACTCTTTCTTTTCACTGGTATGCTTTTATTTTTTTGAGTGCATACTTAAGAGTAGAGCAGCTGTGTCACATCATAATTCTATATTTAATCATTTGAGGAAAGCGCCAGACTTTTCTGAAGTGGTTGTACCATCTTATACTCCCACTAGCATTGTATGAGGGCACTGAGTTTTCCATACCCATGAGAACACTTAATAGTTGACTTTCTGCATTAGCCAACCTAGCAGATGCGCAGTGATACCTCACTGTGGTCTTGGTATGCATTTTCCTGACGGCATTGATATTGAAGATCTTTTCCTGTATTTTATTGACTGGATGACCATTCAGTCAGTCAGTCAGTCTGCCTGCCTGCCTGCCTGCCTGCCTGCCTGTCTACCTACCTACCTACCTACCTACCTTTTTTTTTTTTGGCAGAACTGGGGATTGAACTCAGGCCCTTGCGCTTGCCAGGCAGGTGCTTACTCCACTGAGCCATTGCCCCCTATCTTCTTTACAAAAATATCTGTTTGGTGCCAGTTCAATTCTGAAGGGAATTATTGTTAACCATATTAATAGGGTGGTATGTGAATTCTTTCTTTTGGTGTGTGAATACTTAAAAGCCTGATGATTTTTAGAGACCTAATGGTTCACTAATAAATTATTCAGAACTAAATTATTATCTTTTTCTTTTTTTTTGGCAGAAGCAGGGATTGAACTCAGGCCCTTGTGCTTGTCAGGGAAGCGCTTATTCCACTGAGCTATCTCCCTAGCCCCCTAAACTTTATATCTTATTAATTCGATTTCTAAGTCAAAGGGATGTAGCTGAAGTTAGTGAGCAATTATATCATAAATTACCCATGTTTAGGATGGAGTGGTGTGGATTGGATAAACTGGGGTCCCAATAGGATTTTTTTTTAAAATTTTATTTATTTGTGTGTGTGTGTCTGTGTGGCCAGCTCAGTCCACCAGGGGGCGGGGCTGTCTGGCATGTGGTGCTGGGGGATTGAACCTTGGTCCCTGTGCTTTGCTAAGCTTGTTCTAAGTAGGTGCTTTAGACCACTGAGCCATCTCACCAGCCCCTCCCAATAGGATTAAGCAGATCTTCCCATAGGGAAATGTCTGGGATTCTTGGACCTTGACTTTGTGTTTTTTTTTTTTTTTTTTTTTTTTTTTTTTTTCTCCCGGAACCGGAGATTGACCTCAGGTCCTTGCGCTTGCCAGGGAAGCGCTTATTCCACTGAGCCATCTCCCTGGCCCCTTGACTTTGATTTGATAAGCATTCTTAGAGTGACTCGAGAGAAAAAACTCTTTAGTATGACCTAAACCTGAATGAAGTCTGAAGTCTCAAGGTAGTTTTTCAGAAGTTGAACGTGTTAGCAAGGTTACAGCTCCTAAAAAGTAGTATTAGTGGCATTGATAGAAATGTACTGTGCTGGTCATAGGAGGTAACATTTCTATTGGCATATGCTTCATAGTGGTCTAACTAAGGAAAAAAGAATTTGGCTCCATCCAACTTTTCTGATTATTGGCCATTTTTCTTTGGGCAGGTGCCTTCACTTAGCTCTCAATTTTCTTATCTCTAAGGTGATAGTAATTACCTGGCTCTGTTTCTTAGAGTTGTAAAAATTAGGTAAAAGTACAAATGTGGAAATACAGAAAACGTAGAGCATATTGTGTTCATGATGTGGTTTAAGTCTGAGTGCCCTGACAACTTGTTTGAAAAATAAAAGAGAGGGAACTTTAAGTATAGTTCTAGAAGAGAACCTGAAGATAAAAGTTTCAAGGTTGTTTTCGGCTGAGATGAGCTCTACTACTGGTAGTTCTGTCATCCTTATGAAATATATCACATAGAAAACTGATAGGAAGCGTTTCTGTGTTGGGCATGAAGTTGCCTCGTGTCTCATCATGGGCAGCACATTTTGAGTGTTTCATGTGTTTTAAATGTTTTATTTACATTGTCTTAGGCTTCCAAACAACTTTATAAGATTGGGAATCATTATCTCCCTTCTACAGTTGAAAAACATTGAGACGCAGAGAGGTTCAGTAACTTCTCCAAGGTTATGGGGCTAGTAAGTTGCAGAGTTAAAATTGACAAACGCAGTGTAGGCCCAGGATCCATGCTTTTAGCTACTTCATTACCAACCAGCTCTGGAAATCATTAAAAGTAAAAAGCATTTTGTTCTGTTTACTTTTCCTAACTTATAACTTGTACTGTATAATGTTAAGGGTAGAAAAGTGGATTGGAAAACATTTTACTTTAACAGAGAATTATTGTTTTAATGTCAAATACAAATTATTAAATATTTCCTCAAATTACTGGGAAAGTTTTTAACTTTGGAAACCTATATTAATGTCTTTAGAAATTTACTTTGGAATGAATAAATGATACTTGATGTGAAAAGTAGATAGTTTTCAAGGCCAGCTTAATAGATTTATCTTTTGCTTTGAAGATGATCTCAAGCTTTTTAGATCAGCAAGCTATCCTGTTTGTGGACACTGCTGATCGTCTGGCCTCCTTAGCTAGAGATGCCCTGGTCCATGCACGCCTGCCTAGCTTTGCCATCCCGTATGCCATTGACGTACTGACTACTGGCTCTTACCCACGGCTGCCAACTTGCATTAGGGTAAGTGCTTTGCCTTTGTGTTCACAGAAGTTGAAGGCTTTGGTAATAAGTAAAATTGTGGGGTTTTAAAAAATAATTTGGGGCCAGAATATAAATGGATCTAAAAAATAAGGGTGAATTGGTGGGTAGTGATGAGCAGATGGGCAGACTTCATATTCAGTTATTATTGAATTGTGTTTTATACTTTTTTTGTTGTTGTTTTTTGAAACAGGGTGTTGCTATGCAGTTCAGGCTAGTCTTGAGCTCATTTTCTAGCCTCCTGCCTCAGCCTCCTGAGTGCTGAGATTACAGGCATGTGCCATGACCTCAGCTCTTCTTCTTCTTTTTTTTTCCCCCCGGAACCAGGGATTGAACTCAGGCCTTTGCACTTGTCAGGGAAGCGCTTATTCCACTGAGCCATCTCCCTGGCCCCTCAGCTCTTCTTTTTTTTTTTTTTTTTTTGTGGAACCGGGGATTGAACTCAGGTCCCTGAGCTTGCCAGGCAAGCGCTTATTCCACTGAGCCATCTCCCCGGCCCCTTCAGCTCTTCTTTTGAAGTAGCTTCATAAGTTGTTGAGTTGCCCAAGTTGGGCTTGAATTTGTAATCCTCCTGCCTCAGCCTTCTAGAGTCCTGGGTTTACAGTGTGTCACCATACTTAGTATATAGTTTTTATGCATTATAAAAGTCATTTAAATTGTTTTCTAGGATAAAATTATTCCTCCAGATCCAATTACCAAAATTGAGAAACAAGCCACCCTTCATCAGCTTAATCAGATTCTTAGACATCGCCTTGTAACCACAGATCTTCCACCTCAGCTAGCAAATCTTACAGTTGGTATGTACCTGAAATTAGTGTGTGTGTGTGTGTGTGTGTGTGTGTGCGTGCGCGTGCGTGCACATGCGGACACGTTTTCTCCAGGGGGAAGGGTATATAGGTCTGATTATATTGCCTGGTTGGTTGAGAACTCTGGGCTCAAATGATCTTCTTGCCTCAAGCTCTCTAGTAGCAGGGACTTCAGGCATGTGCCACTGCACGTGGCTGAAATTTTGTTTTTATTGTTTTATTTTTATTTTATTTTTAAATCAAATACATGATTTATTATAAACTAGGACAATATTCTAAGGAAGTAATGGCAAAATAAACTTTTAAGTTCTCAAACATTACAACACGTAGGATTATTCTATTAACATTTTATCAGATTCTTAATGGAAGAAAATGATTTAATATCTTCACACTGAAATTTTGTTTTTAAACGATTATTTTCTTAAATAGCTCTTTGAGTTTTATTCAGACAAGTGCCAGTCATTATGAACTTTTGACCCACAGTTTGGTGGTGTTTGAATCTCTGATGTGGCAGCTGTATTATTCTCTGTAGTACCTAAAGTACAGTGAAGTACATTTGAAGCTGAGGACTGGTTAAAATCATCTGGTGATAGGGTAGAAGAGTTCCTAGAGCTAAGCCTCAAGAAAATGCCGTTTGTTTATATTGGAAGAGTTGCCTTCTTAATGACCTGCATGCTAACTACCATTGATGCAGGAGCTACTAAATTGTCTGAATACTAATGAAAAACTTGGGCTGGTTTACTTTTCTTACATGTAAGAGTGAACGTTCTGGGTTAGCAAGAGAGTGGTAATTTTTTAGCAAAGTACACATCTTCTTTTAAAAGCAAATGGTCGTGTGAAGTTTCGAGTTGACGGAGAATTTGAAGCCACCTTGACAGTGATGGGAGATGACCCTGATGTTCCATGGCGGCTTCTCAAGCTAGAAATACTGGTTGAGGATAAGGAAACTGGAGGTAAATCATAAATACTGACTTCAATCATAAATGTTGATGTACATGTTTGATATTTTTATATTATCTTTTTATTTATTTTATTTTGGCGGAACCGGGGATTGAACTCAGACCCTTGTGCTTGCCAGGGAAGCACTTAATCTACTGAGCCATCTCCCTGGCCCGATATTTTTATATTATCAAAATATTCCTGCAGAATAATAAGTATGTGTAGCAGTTTATGTTGTGTCTATTGACTGTAGAAGTTTCAGCATTTCTCAGAACATCATATTCTCTATAATTTCCCTGGGTGATTTTAAAGTCGCTTGTCAATGTACCGTTCCTTAGTTGTACTGTAATGTAACCTGTGCACCTTTCTGATTCAACTGCCTTCTTTTCTCCTGCCAATGGAAGATGGGCGAGCTTTGGTACATAGTATGCAAATCAGCTTTATCCATCAGCTGGTGCAGTCCAGGCTGTTTGCTGATGAGAAACCTCTTCAGGACATGTACAGCTGTCTCCGTATCCTTCTGAAGTTCGAGACATGGATTTCTCTGTCTCCCTTAGTCCTGAACTGTAACAATCTTGCTTCTCTCTCCCCTTGCTCCCCTCGCTTCTCTCTCCCCTTGCTTTTTTTGGGCACTGGCCAGTGTGAAGAACAGTGGTACCTCTGTGATAAAACAAATTTAAAATGTTATTGTTGGCTTTGCAGGCATTCCCTAAAAGTGATTAGTTTAAAATAGTATTTTTTGTTGAAAAAATACTTTTTGATCAATGTATATTTTCTAAAGATCAATTGGGGCAATCTGGACCTTATAGTTTCCTTATATTGCTTCAAAATTAAATATAAAACCTTTTCTAATGTCACATCCCATAGCCAAGGATGGTGGTGCACACCTGTAATCCTAGAATTTGGGAGATTGAGGCAGGAGGATCACAGGGAGTTCGAGGCCAACCTGGGCTACATAGTAAGTTCAAGGTCAGTCCAAAGTATAAAAGCATAAAGCAAGACCCTGTGTCAAAAAATAACAACAAAAAAATAAGTGAAAAATTTTACCACTTTTTAGGTTGGATCATTGGAGAAATATTCCACAAAATTCTTTCATGGGCAGCTTTTTATTGTTATTATGTGTTTTTGTTTTTGTTTTTTTTTTTTGGCAGAACCAGGGATTGAACTCAGACCCTCGTGCTTGCCAGGGAAGCGCTTATTCCATTGAGCCATCTCCCCGGCCCCTTATTATTATGTTTTGGTAGTACTGTAGATTGAACACAGGGCCTCTGCTTGGAACTATATTCTTAGTGTGTCCCTCTCTTTTTTTTTAAACTTAAAATTTTATTTTGAGAGAGGATTTTCCTAAGTTGCCCAGGCCAGGTTTGAACTGGTAATCCTCCTGACTCAGCCTTTCAAAGTACATAGCCAGTTTTTTGAGACTGGATCCTTCATGAAATGAAGTTTTCCTGTACGTGATTGGCTGCTGAAGTAATTTATTATGTTGGCTGCTAAAGTAATATATTATGTTAGATTTCCTTAGTAAGCTGTCTCAGATTCTTTCTGCTTGTCACTTCAGTTAGAAGTGCTGCACTCCCAGACTCTAATGTTAATCCGCGAGCGGTGGGGGGACCTTGTGCAGGTGGAAAGGTATCACCCAGGAAAGTGCCTTTCCCTCTCGGTTTGGAAGTAAGTAAAATTAGTTATGCTAAGTTCATGCTGTGACTAAATGCTTTGCCTTTTTGTTTTCTTCCTCTTATATGTCTGATTTTTTTTTTAAATTTTTATTTATTTATTTATTTATTAACATTTATTTAGTGTGTGTGTGTGTGTGTGTGTGTGTGTGGCCAGCTCAGCCCACCTGGGGGCAGGTCTGGCTGGCATGTGGTGCTGGGGGATCGAACCGCGGTCCCTGTGCTTTGCCAAGCTTGTTCCAAGTAGGTGCTTTAGACCACTGAGCCATCTCTCCAGCCCCTATATGTCTGATTTAATAGTTACCAATAAGTGATGTGTCATGGTGACAAAGTCCCATGGCTTTGTGTAGACCACCTATGGCATCCGTAACTGACATCTTTCTTTGAACGCTGCATGTGTTTAAATATATATATTACTAAGACTTACTATTCCTTAAAAAGGTAGAGTTTAGTTTATTGTGGGTTCTACCCAAGTTGCTGAAAGGTTAGATTGTTGAGTATCACTTTGAAATGTGTTTAGCAGTTTTCAGTTATTCTTTCTAAGAACTTTGTTTTAGAGAAAATCTGTATCAGGTTGTTTACATTCTCCAAGTCCTGCTTGAATGGGGCTTGTTTTCCATTTTTGGTAAATGAGTCAGGTGAATTGATAGCACCTAGGAGATAGGTAGTTCTGCTTTAGGGTTATTTGTATGTGCATGTATAGCATTTAAAAAAAATTATGTTTTTATTTTTTGTATAGCATTTTAAAATCCTATATGTTTTAAAAAATGAATTAAGTCAAACATTGTATTAGATTACAGAATAAATGTCTTCTCAGTACTCATATAATGTCTTGCAAACAGTGAGGGCCTACCAGGTTCTAAGTTTTAGTTAATGTGCGATAGATTGTTTCTAGTTTATTCTAAAAGTTAACAAGCTATGTTGATAAAAATTATTAATATTTCTTTTTTCTCTTCAGTCAACAGATCCTTGGTAGAAAAACAGGGATGGTATCTGCTCACAAAGTGACAATTAAAATAGATGAAAATGATGTCTCCAAGCCTTTACAGATTTTTCATGATCCTCCTTTGCCAATTTCTGATTCTAAGTTAGTAGAAAGAGCCACGAAGGTAAAAGTTTTCGATATATTTTAATATTGATTAAATACAAATAATTTGCCATAGATAAATTCTTAAAATACCTAATCGTTCCTATGAAACTTTTTTTTTTTTCAGACCGGGAATTGAGCTCAGGTCCTTGCTCTTGCCAGGGAAGCACTTATTCTACTGAGCCATCTCCCCGGCCCCTGAAACTTGTTTTAAGTGTTATACTTCTGCATTTTTAAAAATTTTATATCTGGTACTATAATGCATACTTTTATGTTATTTACTTATTTATTTTTTTAAATGTTTCCTTTATTTCTTTTTTCTTTTTTTTTTTATAGTCAGCTCAGCCCACCCTGGGGGTGGGGCTGGCATGGCATGTGGTGCTGGGGATCGAACTGAGGTCCCAGAATGCTTGCCTAAGCTTGCCTAAGCAGGTGCTTTAGACCACTGAGCTATCTCGCCAGCCCACTTTTATGTTATTTTAGTGTTTATTTTTGTCTTTTTGAGACAGAGTCTCAGTTCAGGCTGGCCTTGAGCTTATTTTGTAGTAATGGCTGGTCTTGAACTCCCACTGATCCTCCTGCCTCAGCCTGTGAATGCTGGGATTACAGGTGTGTGCTGCCATGCCTGGCTTTATTTTTTTGTTTTTTGAGAGAGTCTGACTGTTTCAGGGTGACTTTTTTTTTTTTTTTTTTGCGCGGTACTGGGCATTGAACTCAGGACCCTGTGCTTGCCAGGCAAGCGCTTATTCTACTGAGCTATCTCCCTGGCCTTTCAGGCTGACTTTGAACTCTTATGTAGCCCAGGCTAACCTCAATCTCAGAGTGATCCCTCTGTCTTAGTCTCCCAGGTGCTGGGATTACAGATATGTGCTACCATGCCCCACATTATAATGCATACTTTTAAAGGTGTTTTTTTTGTTTTTTGTTTTTTTTGGTACTGGGAATTGAGCTGAGGGGCTTGAAATCAGCAGATACTCTACTACTAAGCTATGCTCTCAACCTATTTGAAATTTTGTGTTTAAATCGGGTCATCATTTTATACTTAAGGTCAAGCATTTAGACACTATGAATAATGGTGTATAGGTAGTATTTTGATCTGTATCCATCAAAGTATTACCTCTAAACTGGGCATGATGACTTACACCTACTCAGGGACTGAAGGAAGAAGATCCTAAGTTTGAGTCAGTGGGCAGTTTAATGAGACCCTGTCTCAAAATTAAAAAGGGATTGGGGTTGGGCGTGGTAGCTCACAATTGTAATCCCAACCCTCAGAGGCTGAGGCAGGAGGATTGCTATGAGTTTGGCGAGCCTGGGCTACATAGTGAGAACTATCTCAAAAAAAAAAGTGGGTGAATAGAGAAGTAGTGGTAGAGGTTGCTTGGCATATGCATGGCCTTGTGAGTTCAATTCCCTACTTTTAAAACACAAAGCTAAACACTAGTTGCTATGGTTGCACTGTCATGCAAGTTAATTTTAGTCCAATTCCATATAAGTTAATATTTAACGTTAAGTTTATTTTTCCATGTTAACATTTAGTGTGATTCTAAAAGGAAGTATCTTGACGCACCAGTAATCTATTTTCAGACTTAAAAGTAAAAATGACTTAACTGCAATGATTTCATTGTTCTTTTTTGTGCAGATTGACCACTTATCAATAGAAAAACTCCTGATTGACAGTGTCCATGCAAGAGCTCATCAGAAGCTCCAGGAATTAAAGGCCATTCTTAGAGGCTTCAATGCCAATGAAAACTGTAGGTGTTCTTAATTGATGTTTTTGTAGTTGTTTTCTTTAAATTAATATTCATATTGGTTTTATGAAGAGTCTTTCTTACTATATATTTCCTGATACTGGTTTTATTGCATAGGCGGAGCATTTCTTACATTTTAACTTATAATTTGCCTCCTAGTTTTTCTTTTATTTTCTATCTTATTTAGCTTGATCTTGTTTTTGAAATGTTTGTGTATTGTCTCTCCTTAGAACTTTCCCCCACTGAAACTGTTTTAACATGAATTTTAAATTTCTTTGACTTTTTCTTCTAGTGATAAAGCAACATTGCAAATATTTGTGTTTTAATAACATTTGATTGAATAAAGCAAAACTCATCTTTTATCTTTAAAAATGTTCAATTAGCATATTAATAAGATTCACCATAAGAAATGTAGATATAAATAAAGAGTGGAAAATCTTCCAAGTTAGTACCTGTTCAGTCTGTGCAGAGCTTCAGGGAAAGCTCTGCAGGTCTCTGTTTAGCAACATTTTGTGGAGGTATACTAGCCAGAGGATCTGAGTTCAGCTTACATAGCTTGGGCTCTGTTTTGAACCGTAGTGTGGAGATGTTAGTCCAGGCTCTTCTAGATCTCTGACTCTAGTATGGAGTGTGCTACAGCAGTGGGGGTTTCAACCAAAGTATTTACAGTGGCCCTGCTAGGTTTAGAGAAAGGCGCTTCAGGGACAGTCACTTGAAGATAGTGGAGAAACTTGCATGTGGGCTTGGTACCTCTAGGACTTAATAAGGGCATTCTAGAAATGAGGGCTACTAGAGGAAAGGGTCTGCTGAGTCATCATTTTCGAGCATAGTACTTGTTTTTTACATTCATTTACATTTTTATATTCATGTTGTCTTTTTCTTTTGAGAAAGAGACAGAGACAGAGAGAGAGAGAGAGAGAGGGAGAGAGAGAGAGAGAGGAAATCGATCATGCTGTGTAGTCCAGACTGCAAATGATATCCTCCTACCTCAGTCTCTGAAGTGTTGGGATGACAGCTGTGTACCATTATACCTGGCTTCATATAGTCTTACTTGATCCTTTTTATGGCAGGAAAGCATGTTTTAGTGAGATCCTTTCCTAAGACCAGGAACTGTAATCTTCTTGGTATCCTCTAGTACAGTTGCCTTTTTTTCTAATTCTTAACTGGAATAACTGGAGGAAATGAATAGCTTAGAGAGCAGAGCATTGTAAGTGTGGGCTAGGTAAATGCACAGTTGTAGGTTTTGGACAGCTTGTATGGCAGGATGTGGTTTCCTAGGGGTAGAAATGGCTTGGGAAGGGCTGGCCTGTTAGCTCAGCAGACTAAAGCACCTGCATAAGCAGAGCACAGTGACCGGGATTCGATTCCCAGCATGCCGTGCCGGCCCTGCTGAGACGGCAATTGAAACTGGGCATGGTGGTGGGCACCTGTAATCCCAGCGCTTTGGATGCTGAAAACAGGAGGATCACTGCGAGTCCGATCTATGTAGTGAGACCCTGTAGACCCTGTCCTAAATACAGAAAAGGAAAGAAAAGAAATGGCTTGGGAGAAGCAGCATGGGACTGTGCAGAGATCAAAATAGATAGTGTAAGGCAGTAGAGGTCACTTGAGATACAGTGGGGCTCAGTTCATGGCATTAACTGACTGTTGGAAGCTAGAGTGTACTTCCTTGTGTTGTGTTGACTTAACTGGCAGTATTAAAATCAGGGTATTGTGATCAGTTGGGAAGCTCTGGACCGCACATAGCCATTCTTCCCTGAGCTTGCTTGCTTCTGTTCATTTTCTGTAAAAAAGAATAAGGATATTGGCAGTCATAAAATATATTTGTAGATCTACATCCAGGTATTAGCTCCCTTTTGGACTCTATTCTGTATCTTTTGATGCCCTGTCTTTTTCAGAATACTGTTTCAATTCCCAATACTAGTTTGATTCTGTTGCTGCACATTAGAAATTGTTTTGCTTTAAAGAATACCTTTGTCGAGTACTTAGTCTGAGGCAGGAGGATTGGCCATGAGTTTGAGGCCAGCGTAGGCTAAATAAGGGATATAGCAAGACCCTGCTTCAAAAAGAAATTTTTTTAAAAAGGATGCTTTTGTAACCCATTAGGAGTTATAACTGTATAGAAATGTGAAAATCAGCAACTCTGCTTCAAATTTGTTAGTATTTTTTATTATACCACATAATGTAGTACATTCAGAGGAACATTGATTTGAACTACTCTGTCATACTGGTCTTGAATTATAAAATATTATAAAAGAAATTGCTGTTCTGTTTTGTTTTTATATTTTTAGGTGAAACTTCTGCTGGACTTGGATGTTAAACATTTGTATAAAATGTGTATGAAATATACTTGAAAGAAATTTGCTTTTATCTAATTAAATGTCTCCTGGAAGTTTTTACCTTACTAATTTGTTTGGTAGTAAAGAGTACCAATGATAACTTCACCCATGTGAGATATTGCAAGAGATTTTGAGTTTTTCTCCATTCTTAAGGGCATACAGATAAGGGACACTTTGTGAACATTTTGCTTTTTTTTTCATGCTAAGGCATTACACATGCTCAGCATGCACACTACCACTGAGTTACACCCTTATCCCTCACTCTGCTTCTTAAAGCACCTTCACAGACTTGTCATTTCTGCTGAAGAGATAACTCAGTAGTATGAACGCCTGCCTGGCAAGTGCAAGGTCCTGATTTTGATCCCTGGTATAGGGCTGGGGAGATGGCTCAGTAGAATAAGCACTTTCCTGGCAAGCGCTAGGTTCTGAGTTCAATTCCCGGTTCCGCAAAAAAAAAAAAAAGAGCAATTGTCTACATTTGGGCCAGGGAGATGGCCCAGTAGAATAAGTGCTTGCCTGGCAAGTGCAAGGGCTTGAGTTCAATCCCTGGTTCTGCCCAAAAGAAAAAAAAGACTTAGGCTGATCCCTGGTATAAAACAAAACAAAACAAAACAAAAAAACCTTGTAATTTCTTCTCCAACAAACAACCTGTGGCATGGAGACAATGGTATTCGTGTTTTATGAGGTAGACCTGGTGAAAAATCTATTATCACTCTCCCTCCTGGTTGGTTGCCTTTTGTGTGCACTGTTGCTTTACAGGAACTTGGTAGCAAGAAGAGGATGTCTCTTAGGATGGTGGTGCAGGATTGTAATGCCAGCACTCTGAGAGGCTGATGTAGGAAGATCACAAATTAAAGCACGTCCTGAGAAATTTAGCAACTTAGTGAGACCCTAGCTCAAAAAGTAAACATAAATATTTTAAAGAGAGCTGGTGATGTAAAGGCCCTGTGTGTCTGAAAAAGAAAAATAAGAAGAGGTTCTTTTACAACCCTTAATCTGATCAGCATTTAGTGTGTCTTCTGTGCTTTGCTTGTTCACTGGATTTCATTTTAACGACTTGATGGATTTAAGGGAAATTTTAATTGGGCCTGGTAGAAATACTACGAAACTTGATCAAATATATTGTCAGCTTTGGGGATTTCTCTTTAGCAGTTGCTTATATTCGTGTTTTATCTATGATTTTAAAGTGAGGTACACAAATAACCTGAAAGATTTTTCCTATATAATTCATAATGTGTAATAGATTTCCAGTGTTTCTTGAAGCACCTCCTCAGCTCTATCAAAAAAAAACAACCTTTTTTTTTAAAAATGAGGAATACCATTAAAAACCTTTAAGCTATAGGTGACATTTATTCTATTTACCAAACAACTAATTTTCTCCTTGATATTTTTCAATATAAAAAATATGCCTAAAAATTAACGTACTACCAAATACTGAAAGTGAAACTAGAATCGCGCTAACTGATAAGACTAACTCTTCACTAGGTTTTAAAACCCTTTTAAAGGAATGTTGGTTTGTTTTTTCTTTTTTTGATGTAATAGTTGAATATGTTTCTTTCAAGTGAACTTGAAAATTCTGCCTTTAGAACTACTAATTATAATAATTCTATTCCAAATTTTTGAAAATCCCTGTAACATGAAGGATCTTTCAATAGTTGTTCCTCCTCACCAACAAATACAGTTTTTTGGAAAATATTGAGATAGAAAAATAATGGTTAATTGTTAACTGTTCAGCTTCCATAGAGATTGCACTTCCAGCTCTTGTTATTCCCATCTTGGAGCCCTGTGGAAATTCGGAGTGCCTACACATTTTTGTAGATTTGCATTCTGGAATGTTCCAGTTGATGCTCTATGGACTTGGTAAGTTACTAAATGATATAGTGACTTGGTGTAAGAAAAATATTTTTAACAAAAGAAAAATAAGAATGTTCTGCTATTATGTTGGAAGGGATGGTGTAGTACATTGGGTATTAAAAGTGCAAGGAAGGATTAACTGACTTATGTCTACTTTTGGGGGTTCTAATTTAACCCTACTTTGGATTTTTTGTTTTTTAAATTTTTTAAAAATTGAACTGAGGAACTTGTGCTTGCCAGGCAGCCACTGGTGCTGCTGAGCTATATCCCCAGCTGGATTTTCTTGTACCAGAAGATAAACTTACCAACATAAAGTACATTCATGCTGTTTCTCTTATGTAACAATAATGTTGGTGGCTGATACTTCTTATATTTATCTATCTAGCACCTCGGTTTGTATTGTACCTCTTTTGGTTGAGGGACATGGACATGAATGCATATGAGATTGTAATGTCATTTGCAGCTGACGAGCATATTTATGATGGTATAAATATCTGTGATGACTTGAGGTAGATGTATTTCGTTTTGGCGTAACCATAATAGAAATGAAAGTTCCACTTCACCTTTGTTTTGTGTGTAGTTGCCTTGTTTGTTTTTGGTCTTTTTTTATTTTACTGTATTTTTTTGTTGAATTGTTTTTTTTTGGGAGGTTTGTTTATTTATTTATTTATTTATTTATTTATTTTTTGTGGAACCGGGGATTGAACTCAGGTCCTTGTGCTTGCAAGGCAAGTGCTTATTCTACTGAGCCATCTCCCCAGACCCTTGGGAGGTTTATTTTTTGTTTTTGGTGCTGAGGACCGAACCCAGGGCTACCAGCTTGCTAGGCAAGCATTCAGTTTTGTTTTGTAACTTAAGTTGGTGTTCTGAAATGACAATACTTACTAGGAGCTTAGTGTTTTTTTTTTGTGTAGCTCGTGGAAGTGTTCTTGAATATATTAGCACATTTGTCATTCTGAATTAATATTAAGGAAGAGAGATTGTAAATAAAAGTTGTATGACTCTAAAGGGAAGGTTTTTTATGAGCTGCTCATGGTAAAACAACGCATTGCTTTGAATCACATCACATTTACATTGGCTAAATGACAGACAAATGGTGCAATTATGGATTTTTTAACTGCGGTTCCAAGCCAACTAAGCAGCTGTTCTTTAAAGCTTTTTCTTTGTTTTCCTAATTATTAACATAAATATAAATAACAAAACTAAATATATAAAGATAAAAGAAATAGAAAATTGTTTTTTATGGATATGTGTTTCTGTTAGATTAGGCTGCTCTAACAAAATACAGTAGAAATTTGTTTTCTTGAGTTCTGGAGGCTAAGAAATTCAGGGTAGCATTGTGGTTGATTTCTGGTGAAGGCCTTCACTGTTAAGCAGCTGCCTTTTCTGGCTGTGTCCTCACATGGATGGGAGAAAGGGAGCGTGCTCCCATCCCTTCTTAAAACCTCGTCTAACCCCAGTTGACTCCTAGAGGCCTATTTTCCAAATAGCTCGCCTTGGAGGTGAGGGCCTCAACAGAGGGTCTTGGGGAGGGCTGGTGAATACATTCATTCTATAGTAATATGCTTTCATTTTATTTTGATATTTCAGTTTTTTTCTTGTCTTTTTTCTCATTAGTTGAAATCATTTTTTTAGTTGAAATCATTTTGATAAATCTAATCTCTAAAAAAAAGGAAATCATTTTGTATTTCTCTTTTTTGCTCATTATTTATTGGCATTTTTCTAATGTTATTAAAAATTTAGAAAGACATTTTTTAAAATTTATTTATTTATTTATTTTTTGAACCGGGGGTTGAACTCAGGCCCTTGCGCTTGCCAAAGAAGCACTTATTCCACTAAGCCATCTCCCTGGCCCTAGAAAGACATTTTTAGCAAGCCAATCTTTAGTCAACAGCTGTTATACCAGAGACCATTTGTGTTTGGCAATTAACCATTTCAAGGGAATCTTTTGATTTTTACAATTTTTAAGGTTTTAAGCCTAGTAGCATCATGAGCTTCAAATATGTTTAAGTTGAAATTGTTAATTAACTTGAGTAAAGGATTCAGTAATTAAAACATAGGAATAGAGTTGTGTATTGCCCTTCTTCCGGTTTTCATCTGCTATAATTTGTGTTATCTGTAACACTCCTGAGCATTAAGAGAAACAAAGTTGATTTATATCTAATGAGATATTTAAAATTTTTTTTCCCCCCTGCGGAACTGGGGATTGAACTCAGATCCTTGCGTTTGCTAGTCAAGTGCTTATCCTACTGAGTCTTCTCCCTGGCCCCTAAGGCAGAGCTGGGATTCGAACCTACGAACTCATGCTGTAAAGCCTAATGCGTAAACCACTACGCTATCTCTCCAGCTTTAATTTTTTTATTTATTTAAGAATAACAGTTTTCTGTCTGAAAGAATAATTTTTGTGTAAGTTATTAGGCTACATAGATTTTTGTTTCTCATGTAAACAAGTGCTTTATTCCGTAGACCAATCCACACTGGATGACATGGAGAAATCTATCAATGATGACATGAAGCGGGTCATTCCTTGGATTCAGCAACTTAAGTAAGTTTATTTTATTTTGTTCAAGACTAGAAATGAAAACCTATTTTGACAGGATACATTTTCTTCTTTATCATTCTCTTGATCAGCCACTGTCCTTAAGTTTATGACATGAAACTCAGTTCCTTTTGGTACCTTTAGAATCTTAAATTCTCTTGGAATAGACCCAGGGTGGCAGTGCTTCATATCAAATTCTCCTCTAGAGCAAATGTTGTAAGTGTGAAGGGCACAACACTCAACTTTCATTCCTTGCCACATTTTCTCCTGTACAAGCACTTTATAGATCACTTACACAATGAATTTTTGTATCAAGTGTTCTCTAATAGAGTCTGACTTGTTCTTATCCAGGATAATCTTCATGGTATGAATCTACCAGCTGACACTGCCAGAATATTCATTTCTGCTTCTCTAATATCACCATTCAGCTTGTCTCAAAATCTATTAAATGTTTTTATACTGTTAAACTAAATAAAATTATAAATGGAGCTACAGATAATTCTGTTTGGTTTCATTACTGGTCCACCGTAGGAACAAAGGTACCATTATGCCAGCACTAACAAACTGTCTTAAAATTAATAAAACAAAATTCCTAGGAATAAAAATAAATTTCAGAGCTCTGAACCCAAACTGACAAATTCAGAAGGAAGGAAAGGCCAAAAGACCCAAATATAAAAGTGTTCAATGGGATATTGCTTTTATGTTCCTCTAGCTTCCCTCTTCTCTTGCCAATTATGATCTTTTGTTTTATTTTATTGTATGTATTTGGTACAGGGTCTCACTATGCAATTGGACTCATAGTGATCCTCATGTTTCAGCCTCCTCAACGTTGGGATTACAGGCATGTGCCACCATGCCTGGTCTTGGTGGCCGGAATGGCATGTGGGACTGGGGATTGAACCCCTGCGCTTATGTAGGCAGGCTCTTAGACCACTGAGCTATCTCCGTGGCCCTGTGGTCTTTTAAATATATGAAAAATCCAGTGTAATCAAATAAGTTCATTAACAGCATGATTTTACTGATAGTATATAGGTAATATATGAACTTTTAAATAGTTGTGTAGTTTATATGTTAAAATCAGTTAGTAATTGCCATCATTTGTGTTATCTGTAACACTCCTAAGATGTTAACAAAAACAAATTATTTACAACCTGGGCAATGCTAAAATTTATAATGTTTTACCATCCTTTTTGTGTGTTTTCATTAAGCAAGGTTTAAATATCTAATGTACATAATAATGCACATCTTACATTCACATCTAGTTTATCCATTATATCTACCAGAAATACAACGAAAAACCAGAAAACCAAGTCCCAAAATGCTTTTACCTTATTAAATGTATGTCCGTACTTCAACTTACATATGTATAGGAGAAAGCTTGATTGTTACTTATGATAGTACTTCTCAAACAATCCTTGATGAGTGGCCAGATTATCACTGATCTGTCATAGGACATTGTTTAGAAACAGCTTTGTGAAGTAATACCATTATGCCATAAAATCTACTGTTTCTAAGTATACTAAGTATACAATTCGTCAATTCCTTGTAAATTTAACACATTTTACAACCATCACCAAATGTTGTCAGTGGTTAGTTTCAATCTTGGCCTTTTGGGGAAAATTGATTTGGCCTTGTTGATTTGATTTGTGATCAGAATCATGGAAAGAAGTATGTTGGTGAACTGAGGTACCACTGTATATTAATACTTACATCTGGGTTCCACCCTCCATGCTAGGGATTGAGCCAGGGCCTTGTGCATACTAAAAAAACTCTGCCCCTGAGTTACATCCCCAGGCCCAGTATTTAGAATCTTTCTTTTGGCAAATGAATTTGTTTCTTGCTTATTGTAATTTGCCTGGGTCAGTTTGACGATAATACTAATCGTGATGATGATAAATGTTCATATGAACTGTTCCTGTGTTTTTCTTTTCTTTATTTATTTATTTTTGGCAGAACCAGGGATTGAACTCAGGCCCTTGCGTTTGCCAGGGAAGTGTTTATTCTACTGAGCCATCTCCCCGGCCCCTTCTGTGATTTTCTTTTAATAACGTTTGTAGTAGAAAAATCAGTCTTGCAAAGGTATAGCTGAGAATTGAAGTAGAGATTTCAAAGCAATTTTAGCAAATTTAGTAGATTTATAATTTTTATCTAAAATAAAGCACATGGGGCTGGTGAGATGGCTCAGTGGTCTAAAGCACCTACTTAGAACAAGCTTAGCAAAGCACAGGGACCGCGGTTCAATCCCCCAGCACCACATGCCAGCCCACCCCGCCCCCTGGTGGGCTGAGCTGCCCCCCCACACAAATAAATAAATAAAATTTAAAAATAAATAAATAAAAAATAAAATAAAGCACATGATGATACATTTTCAAAATTGGTCTTCATTCCTTCTTTAGTAGCCAGTTCTAGCAATTGATCCTTTAAATTTGTGGCTAAATTTAAGTTGTGTTTTAATGGAAAAAATGATTTCCAGATTTTATACCCTTTTTAGTAATAGTCAGCAAACTACCCTTAAGATGTCATGTATTCTAACATGGTTTAAATGCATATGACTAGTTCATGATTTGTACCACGTATGATTCACCACGCAAATGTAGTAGCCCCTCAGCTGACCCGTAGCCTGCTCAGCAAGGCAAATGGCTCTACTGATCATGAGCTTGGGTGTTGTGAATTGTTATATTGCTATGGAAATTCTTATTTTGTATAGTTATTTCACTGTGTATTAGTGAGAGTTTATGAACCAGTTATTTTATTCTTTTTTATTTCCATCATATCCTAACTTCAAGGATAATCAAATAAAAGGAATGAGAGGAGCCCTATAGTAAAAACATCACTTACAGTTAATTTTCCCTTATAAGTAATCAGAATCATTCATACTTCAGTTTAAATGTCTTAAAACTTTGGAACATAAAAGTATGGAAAATGATTCATCAGTGTGGTCATGTGTCCATTTGTTCTGTTAAATTTTAGTAAATTGGGTTTTTTTTAGTGGTTGTCAGTCTGCTTTTTAATCAGTGGCACACAGTTAATCGGAAAAGCCTATGATTTTATGATGTGAATTATCTCTTTTCAATTAAGGTTTTGGCTTGGACAGCAGCGTTGCAAGCAATCTATAAAACATCTGCCTACATTAAGTAGTGAAACATTGCAGCTTTCCAATTATTCAACTCATCCTATTGGAAAACTTTCTAAGAATAAGCTGTTCATTAAGCTTACTCGACTTCCACAATACTACATTGTAAGTATGCAAAAGGTTGGTTGGGGATCAAGTTCAGTAATTCTGTTAGCATTGTGAATGATTTATTGTTTAATTTGCAAGTGAATTCTATTGACTATTTGACTTTCACATAGCGATTCCCAACCCAGTGTGTGGGGATGGAAGAGAGGGGAAGGTTAGGTCTTAGTTGGGATTATAGTGCAGCTGCTGGCCCTCATCTAGGATCTCTACTAGAGTGAGATCTAGTTTTTGATTGAAATGAGGCTTCTCTTCTCTTTGAAAAAACAATTTGACAGCCACCACTCTGAAGATTGGTGGCGGATAAACTTGATTGGCCTCAGTTGAGTATAAACTTGCATAAAGCAGCCTTTGCTTTGTTATTTCTTGTTTTGTTTTGTTTTTTGAGGCAAGGTCTCAGTGTGTAGTCCAAGTTGACCTGGAACTCACTATGTAGCACAGGCTGACCTTGGATTTGGGATTGTGCCTGCTTCGGCCTCCTGAGTGCCAGGATTGCAGGCGTGCACCACTCCCAGCTAAGGCAGCCTTTTATTGTCTCATCCTTAATTGTTTGAGGGCATATTCCATTTTGTTGGTTTCTTGTACCTTTTAGTGCATAGGAAGATCCTTTCATTTTCCGCTTTCACTTTTTTAATGAAAAAAAAAGCAAAATTTCATAACAAAATAATAACAGTAGTTAATACATTGAGTATTGTTATCTTTAAAGTAGTTTATCAGAGCAAGATATGGGCATAACAAATTCTTTTTTTTTTAAACCATTTTTTTTTAAAGTCTTAAATTCTTGTTGTTTTTTTTTAATATTTATTTATTTTTATTTATTACATTTATTTATTGTGTGTGTGTGTGTGTGTGTGGCCAGCTCAGCCCACCAGGGGGCGGGCTGGCTGGCATGTGGTGCTGGAGGATCGAACCGAGGTCCCTGTGCTTTGCCAAGCTTGTTTCAAGTAGGTGCTTTAGACCACTGAGCCATCTCTCCAGCCCCAACAAATTCTTCAGTTGAGATTAATGTAAACTCTTCTTTTCAATGAACTAAGAAAAACCACTAGTATAACTATCTTGCATTTTGTTTCCTTTTCCTTTCCTTTCCCCTTCCCTGCATCTTAATTCCTTTTTCCTTTTGGACAATTTCTTCCCATTTCACAGTATCTTGTGCATTCCATTTTCACTCTTACTGGGTGTTTTCCAGTTGGTTTCTTGGAGATCTTTGAGGTGGTTAAAATTGTAGGAATTTGAAATATGAGCTCACCCTAAATATATTGCCTTGCTTATAGAAATTTTTAAATATACCAAATAGATACTTTTGGCTAAGAATCTAATGTGTGAAACTTTTAATACAAGATTGGTGGGGCTGGTGAGATGGCTCAGTGGTCTAAAGCACCTACTTAGAACAAGCTTAGGAACGCACATGGACCGCAGTTCAATCCCCCAGCACCACATGCCAGCCAGCCCCGCCCCCTGGTGGACTGAGCTGGCCACACACACACACAAATAAATAA